AGAATTCACTGTGTGGCACACCATCTGTGGCTGAGGTGCTATATTGGTGCTTATCTAGGAGTTACCACCAGACAGCCTGTGTTCTGTGCATGCTTGGTTGGTTACACAGCTGCATAGCCTTCAGAACAGTTAATATCTCATTAGATCCGTGTCCTGGGGAGAGGGTTAGGCAATACGCAGTTTGTTTCCATGGGATGTCTCCATCCTTCCCGATTTCTTTGGGAATTATATGACACCTGTCATTTCTGCGGGTGACCCTGCCCTGGAGGAAGGTGCTAGTGGGGCTGCTGATCGTCAGGGTAGAATTTCAGCCTTGCTGTCTCTCCTGTGTATGAGGAGATCTGCCTGCTCCATCTTGGGGCCTTCCAGCTGTTTCACTTCAAGTTTCTTTACCTCGTTCTCTTCATCATTAACCAAACATGGAATGGAATATTTTGTAGCTTTTTTTTTTTTTTTTGAGACGGAGTTATGCTCTTGTCACCCAGACTGGAGTGCAATGGCTCGATCTCAGCTTACTGCAACCTCCACCTCTCAGGTTCAAGCTCCTGTCTCAGCTTCCCAAGTAGCTGGCATGCACCACTAAGCCCAGCTAATTTTGTATTTTTAGTAGAGATGGAGTTTCTCATGTTGGTCAGGCTGGTCTCAAGCTCTTGAACTCAGGTGATACACCCACCTCGGCCTCCCAAAGTGCTGGGATTACAGGCATGAGCCACTGTGGCCGACCCTTTTGTAGCAATTATTTTATGCATCAGCTGGTTAGGTGGACACTACTAGTTGTTTTCACTTAAGCAGAGTTAGGGAAGCTGGAAGTAACTATCAGGGTGTAAAGTATCCTCAGATTTCAGGCACTCTGTGGGGAAAGTGAGAACCTGTCTTGTCCATGAGGCCAGTGTGGAGGGTAAAGGTCTTTATCCCTGTCACAAGGCTTGAGGCCAAACTTTGCACTTAGCCTTCTGCCCTCCAGCCAGAGAAGTTTCTAGCAACCTCCATTATTGGCAGAAAAGGTCCAGGCATTATATAATGGTCAAGCCAAGATTTTGTGGATTACAATGTGGATACACATTGTCAACTTCATTCGGCAGCCAGCTTCTCACATCTAACAGTACACACTGAATGTAATTTAATGTAACTAATCATGTACATTGACGTGATTGTTTTAAGGCCCATGAATGTCATTTCATACCACTACACCAATACTTACTTTGCAATTGTTACTAATCTTCTGATATTAAATAGGAGGTAGATGATCAATCCTTTTTAACAAGATTCAAACATTTCTCTGATTTAGATCATTGTAAAATTGCTGGGTTGATAAATGTGCACATTCGTGCAGCTTTTGGTATGTGTTCCCAAGTACCTGCTGAGAAAGTAGCACTTATCAATACCACCAGCAGAGGGCAAGGTCATTCATTTTCTAATCTCTTGATGAACTGGACATTTAAAGTGTTTTGCATTACTTGAGAGGCACAAACATAATGCTGTTATTTTAATTTCTATCTCTTTGCTAATTCAAGTATTGGGTAATTGTATGCATTTGTAAAACTGTGTGTGTTCATAGTCTTTCTCTTTAATGATGTTTTTAATGGCTTGTTCATCTTTTGCTTATTTATCCAAAATGTTCTTTATATAATAACGATATGAGCCCATGTATCATAGATTTTTACAATTATTTATCCCCCATTTGTTTTGCCATTTAATTGTGTGATGGTGTGGATAATTAAGATGCACTTAGGCTGGGTACGGTGGCTCATGCCTAAAATCCCAGCACTTTGGGCGGCCAAGGTGGGGGGATTGCTTGAGCTCAGGAGTTTGAGACCAGCCTGTGCAGTGTGGCCAGACCCTGTCTTTACAGAAAACACAAATATTAGCTGGGCATGGTGGTGCATGCCTGCAGTCTCAGCTTCTTGGGAAGCTGAGGAGGGAGAATGGCTTGAACCCAGGAGGTCGAGGCTGCAGTGAGCCACGTTTGCACCACTGCACTCCAGCCTGGGTGACAAAGCAAGACCCTGTCTCCAAAAAAAAAAAAAGGAGGAGGAGGAAAGAAGGAAGGAAGGAGGAGGAGGAGGCAGAGGAGGAGGAGGAGGCAGAGGAGGAGGAGGAGGAGGAGGAGGAGGAGGAGGAGGAGGAGGAGGAGGAGAAGCAGGAGAGCAGGAGGAGAAGGGGGAAGTGGAAGGGGGAGGAGGAGAGAAAGAAAGAGAAAAGGAGGAGGAGGAGCGGCTCACATTTTTGTTGTATTTTACTTTTTCCACTTCTATTATTTTGAAGAAGCAGCAGCACTCACATTATGTAGTATTTTTCCACTTTTATTCTATTATTTTGCTGAACTGAAAAATTTGTGTATATTTCTACTTTTTTAATAAAAACGTATTCAGTTACCATAATATTCAACCTTTTAAAGTGTACAGTTCAATGGTTTTTAGTATATTCACATGGTTGTGCAATCATCACCTCTAATTTTAGAATATTTTCATACTCTAAAACGAAATCCATACCATTATCCATGTCCCCCATTTCCCTTTTCCCCAACCTTTGCCACTAATCTATTGTCTCCATGGATTTTCTTATTTTGGAAATTTTATTTAAATTGAATCACATAATATGTGGGGATTCTTATTCGTGGCTTCTTTTACTTAGCACAAGGTTTCCAAGGTTCATCCATGGAATATGTATCCTGTTTTTTTGAGGAATAATAATCCATTGTGTGCATACACCACATTTTATTTACCCATTCATCAGGTGATTGACATGTGGAACAAAGAAAATTTTGAGGTGTTATGTATGATGCTGCTATAAACATTCACGTACAAGCGATCATGGGAGGAAATGTTTTCATTTATCTTGGACATATACATGAAGTAAAACTGCTGGGTCATGTGGCAATTCTATGACTTTCTGAGGAACTGTCAAACTATTTTTCAAAGTGGCTGCACCATTTTGCAATCCTGACAGCAATGGACGAGAATTCCAATTTCTCCTTGTCTTTGCCAAACTTACTATTGGCTATATTTTAAATCTTAGTTCTCAGGTGGCTGGAGGTAGTCTAGGCAAAAATGAAATTAACCAATTCAAAATTCAATAGACTAGGAAAGTTCACTGTGGAAACAATGGTCTCTTCAACAAATTGTGCTGGGACTAGATGTCAATATGCAAAAGAATGAAATTGGACCTCTACTTCACACCATGTACAAAAGTGAGCTCAAAATAGATGATAGACCTAAAGGTAAGAGCTAACACTGTGAACTTCCTGGAAGAAAACACAGGAGTAAAACTGTGTGTCAGGCACTGGGTCAGGCACTGCTTGATATCATGTCTGATATCAAAAACAGGTGGCAAAAGAAAAAATAGATAAAATGGACTTAATCAACATTTAAAAACATTGATGCTTCAAAGGACACCATCAAGAAGGTTAAAAAGACAACCATGGACTGAGTGAAACATTTAAAAATGACTTATCTGATACGTGACTTCCATTCAAAATATATGAAGCCTTACAACTCAGCAACAAAAAGATACCCAATTAAAAGTGAACAAAGAGTTTGTTGTTGTTGTTTGAGATTAAGTCTTGCTCTGACACCAAGGCTGGAGTGCAGTGGCACCATTTTGGCTCATTGCAACCTCTACCTCCTAGATTCAAGCAATTCTCTTGCCTCAGCCTCCCACGTAGCTGGGACCACAGGAGCTCGCCATCACCCTGACTAATTTTTGTATTTTTAGTAAAGACGGGATTTTTGCCATGTTGGGCAGGCTGGTCTCTACTTATTTTGCTCAGTCCATATCCATGGTGTATAAAACAGTGACTTATGGGGTGGGGAGGGGAGTAATAGCATTTATTCCTTGAACATGACTACAGCATACACACATACACACGCATACATGTCCACACTGTATCTGAAAAGATAGAGTAGAAAATGTTTACCTCTAAGCAAAAGAACTGAGAGACAGTGGTGGGAGAATATTTAACTAACTTTGAACTACTCTGAAGTTTTCCTATATGTGTATGTATGCCCCAGTCCTCTCTGCTCCCCAAAACTCTTAGTGGTAAATCCCTATGTTTTGCCTTGGGAAAGCAAGTTGTAGACAAATGTGCATATATAATCTGATTCTATCGGGCTGTACGAACACAAGTAAGTAACTATACCAACCATCTAAAAATCCAAGGAAAGCCCGGTCCCTGAACCTAATCTCCCACAGTCCCGGCTCCTGGGCCTATCCCAACCCACCCACACCTTACACCCTTTTATTCATACCCGGATCACTGCCCCTACATTTGGTCTCCACCCACAGTCCCGCCCCCAGAACTGGTCTCTGCCCACCATCAGCCCCACCCTCAAGCTTGGTGCTACCCATAGCCCCGCCCCTATAATTGGTCTCCGCCAATTAGCACTGCCCTTCAGGGCCGGCACACCAACAGCCTGGTCCCCGACCTCAGTGATGCTCGGAACTGGTCTCCGTCCACAGCCAGGCCCATCATCTAGGTTACCCGCTCTCATCGCCGCCCCGGAACTGGAGGTCTCCGCTGTCAATCCCACTCCACGCCTGGTGCCGCCCACAGCCCCGCCCCAGATCTTGTTCTCGCCCCTGGACCAGATCTCTGCCCACTCAGCCCCGCTCTCCAAGCCCTGTACCATCCAGAGAACTGGTCCCCGCCCCTGGAACTGATCTCTGCCCAGTCACCCTACAGGCCTGGTACTACCATAGCCAAGACCCCGCCTTCAGCCCCGTCCCGGAACCGGTCTCCGCCCAAGTTAGTCCCCGGCGCGCGCGGCCCACAGCCTGGCTCCACACCCCTATGGCCGACCTTGCCCTCGCTACTACCCTAGGCCAGGGACCAACTTTGTGCTCACTAAGCAAATTGCAACACCTCTGGGCGAGGCTGGGGGTGCGCGGCCGCCGCTCCCTCCCGCCACGCCTGCCGCCTAAGCGCAGAACCCCCAAACACGCCAGACTCTGCGCGCAAGCCGGAAGTGGACATGCAGCGCTGTTCGCCCCAGACCGGAAGCGGAAGCACGGGGCGGTGCCGTGGGAGGAGCCGCGCGTGGGGCACCGGGGAGCGAGTCCCTCCGTCTCCGCGAGTCGGCGCTTTTGTCCCCGCGGGAGGGGCCGGGCTTGGTGAGCGGCGGGCGGGGACTAGGGTCGGAGTCCAGGGACGACGTGGGTCGTGGGCACCGCCAGCCCCGGGCCCTGCGTTCCTCCCGGGGGCCGCGTTTCCGTCCCTGAGGCCTCGGCTGTGTGCTCAGGTCAGCCCGAAGCTGCTGTTTTCTCCTGGGTCGGGGCCCCGGGCCGCGGTCGCCTCCCCAAAGAGTCCCGGTCGCCCTCATCAGGGGCCATTCTGCGCCCCAGGGGACTTTTGACTGTGGCTGGAGACTGTTGTGGTTGTCACAAATTGTGGGGAGGGGAGGCTGCTACTGTCACCTAGAGGGTGGAGGCCGGGGAAGAGGGACGCTGTTTGCTCTTAAAGATCCTACGTTGTACAGGACAGTCTCCCACAACAAAGAATTTTCAGTAATGCCAAGTTGGGAAATCCTACTCTAGGGCCTTTAAAAAATAAAAAAAAACTCTGCTATTCTGAATAAACTATATAAATTGTTAAAAATTCAGCTTAGTCACTTAATAGGGCCTCTAAGTGACAAGGTATTTTTAAAGCCTCTGGAGTCACCTTAGAATCTCTCTCCAGACTAGTAAGTTGAGCAAGTCCAATGCACACAGCATCAAGCTGCTTTCTTCCCTCTTAAGGAACACATGGCCGGATAGGAATCAGATAAATCCAGGCTGGGCCCTTATTACACATTTAATTATTGAGTACCCAAAAAAAGTGAATGGGATGGTGTTTCCAACAGGTATGGCCAACAACTGTGCAGCCTGTAAGAAGCCTCGAAAGAAGTCTTTGTGCCTTTTTATTTCCAGCTGAGAAAAGCGTCATTCAAGCTCAGATTCCTGCTGAAACCAGCCACGAGGTCCACCTGTTGTCACTGACCCGTGGGTTTCTGTGTGATCAGGTGAGTACAACATGGAACTTACAGCAAAGTTCCAGCAGTCTCTGCTGTGTGGAAGAACTGCTAATGGGCTTTTCCTGTGCTCAAGTTGTAGCCATATGAAAGTCACTAAGAGTGAAGGTTTCTTAAAGGTTCAAGGTAGGCAGGGCGTGGTGGCTCACACCTGTAATCCCAGCACTTTGGGAGGCCAAGGCAGGTGAATCATGAGGTCAGGAGTTCAACACCAGCCTGGCCAAGATGGTGAAACCCCATCACTACTAAAAATGCAAAAAATTAGCCGAGCATGGTGGCAGGCGACTGTAATCCCAGCTACTCGGGAGGCTGAGATAGAGAATTGCTTGAACCTGGGAGGTGGAGGTTGCAGTGAGTGTTGTTTAAAAATTTAGGGTCTGTAGCAAAATGTTAACTAGCTTAGGGAAGTGACTTTTCTCCAAGCCCCTCAGGAAGAAACTTAGCACAAAGGACGCTCAGGTTCAGCCTTCACTTCCCCCTTATCTGGAGTCTCTGAGCCAGCAGATCCATTCAGTGGGTCCTCATTGGGAGTCCCAGCCTCTGAAAGGCAACTCAGGGACACAGGTTGTTATCTTCAGTTTCATAGGGAAAGCAAGCATCTCTGGAGTCTTAACTTCTTTGGCTGTTGTTTTAGGTTACTATTACCTTCTTGTTTAACAAGTTCCTTATTTACTTCTGGGGCTAGCTGGATGCCTGGAATTTCTCTTTAAGGATCTTCAGGATTTTCCTTTATTTTCCTGCTGGGGGTTCACAGGCCCCTAAAAAAGGGAATTGCTGTTTCATCTACAAGTTGGGGTCAGGTGAAGCTAGTCACAGGGCTCGACTGGAATGAGGGGACAGGGATATGTCAGCACTGCCTCATGAGGAAGCTGCGTAAGGAAAATCCCCTGCAGCAGGAGAGAGGCTGCCATGCTCCTTACACTGGGAACACGGGGATGGCTGAAGCCGAGACAAGAACAGGGAGAGAAGCCAGGCACAGTGGCTCACGCCTGTAATCCCAGCACTTTGGGAGGCTGAGGCAGGAGGATCACTTGAGGTCAGAAGTTCGAGAGCACCTGGTGAAACCTCGTCTCTACTAAAAGTGTAAAAATTAGCTGAGTGTGGTGGTGCGTACCTGTAGTCCCAAGTGGGAGGCCGAAGCAGGAGAATTTCTTGAACCTGGGAGGCAGAGGTTGTAGTGAGCTGAGATTGCACCACTGCACTCCAGCCTGGGTAATAGAGTGAGACTCCTTCTCATAAAAAAAAGAGAAGAACAGGGAAAGAGGTGTGACCAAGACCAAGAGGGAGGCAGAACCAGACCAGGTCTCACTTCAGACTCTGTTCTCAGGCCAGTGGGAAGAGACTGAAGAGCTGTGGGCCGGAGGGTGATGCGATTTGCATGTAGTGTAAGCATGTGAATTAACAAGGACTTCAGGATTCAGAAGGAAGATATTTAAGAGGCAAGAGACAGGGTGTTCTGAGGTAGCTTAGGGATCAGATGATTCTTCCCTAAGCCTGGATGATGGTCTTGGAGTAGGAAGGATGTAGAAAGAAGAGACCTGGGAGAATGCATTGCTGCTCGCTTTCATCCAGGCCTAGATCAGAGGGCTCACAGCGCCCACTGTGCCCCAGCTCCTGTCTGTGCAGACCTGCAGGCAGCCCCCTTAGCCCAGGGCTATGTGCCATTCACAGGGCCTTGCCTCTGCATCCTCAAGGAAGTCAGGCCTCCGCATGTCTAAGCCCTGTCCAGCATGGTAGCCACTAGCCACATGGAGCTATATCAATTAAACCAATGAAAATGAAACACAATTAAAAATTTGTTTTCAGGCCAGGCATAGTGGCTCATGCCTGTAATCCCAGCACTTTGGGAGGCTGAGTTGGGTGGATCACCCGAGTTCAGGAGTTCGAGACCAGCCTGGCCAACATGGTGAAATCCTGTCTCTACGGAAAATACACAAATTAGCTGAGCATGGTGGCAGGTGCTTATAATCCCAGCTACGAGGGAAGCTGAGGCAGAATTGCTTGAACCTGGGAGGCAGAGGTTGCAGGTTGCGCCATTGCACTCCAACCTGGGTGACAGAGTGAGACGCCTCAAAAAAAAAAAAAAAGAAGAGGGAAAGAGGTGTGACCAAGACCAAGAGGGAATGTGAAAAGGTGCAGCTGCTGTGGAAAAGTTTGGCAGTTACTCAAAAAGCTTTCAGTGGCAAAAACCACAATCACTTTTGCACCAGCCTGAAAGCTATCACTTAGTTTATTCAACCAGTCCCCTACTGATGGTCATTTGTGGTGTTTTCAGCCCTTTGTGGTTATACGAAGTCCCACAGTGAATTATCTTACACGTCTTTTGGTATTTGTGTACCTTCGAGATAGATTTTGAGAAGTGGGATTCTACAAAAGAGCAGATGTTTTTTGCAGCCTTGCTTGACATCAGCAAATTTCCTTCCCTAGGGGTTGCCCCCAGCAGTGTGTGAGAATGAAGGGTGTGGGCCACTGTGTCTCTGTTGACCTGACAGTTAGGAAATAGTACCAGAGTTGCTGTAATCTGCGTCTCCCTGTGAGTGAGGTCACTGGCGATTCCACCAAGGGTATTGTCCTTGGGATGCAGTGGGGAAGCCAGATTGCACCATGTAAGGACTGAGGAAAGAGACAGAGTGAAGAGCTCTGGCTGGGATGGGGGACACAGACTGGGCAGTAACCAGAAAGAAAGCTGTGCTCCCAGCGTAGGCTCATGGCACTGTGGAGGATGCCAGATCAGGCTTGAGGGGCGTGAGGAGGAGTGTAGCAGCAGAGGAGAGAGCTTCGAGCATGGACAGCTCCTCAAAAGCAGGAGCGTGGACCCCAGGCCAGAACTGCCCAGCAGGCCCGGTGGAGAAGGCAGGCGGCTCCTTGTCTGCGACGGGAGGAACCGGGAGAGCAGGGCGCAGGTTGCAGTGCTGGCGGCGACACAGGAAAGTAGATTCCTCCTTGTGATTGTTACCCTGAGAAGTGGGATCCTGATTGCTGAAAATGAGATGATTTGTCATCTCTTGCTGCCTAACAAATGATCTCACACCATAGTCACTTAAAACAATCGCCATTTATTGTCTCACTGTTTTTGTGTTTCAGGAATTCTGGAGTGGCTTGGCTGGAAGGCTCTGGCTGGAAACCTGCAGAAGGCTTTCAGCTGGGTCCGCGTCATCCGAAGGCCCCACTGGTACTGGGGGCCCCTCCATGGCCTGCAAGTCAGAGCTGGCTGTTGGTGAAAGGCCTCAGTTCCTCTCCACCTAGGCCTCTCCACAGGGCTGCTTGAGCATCTTCCCAGCATGACAACTGGCATCTGCTAGAGCAGCATCCCGGAGACCAACGCAGCAGCTGCATTGCTTTCTAGGACCTAGCCCTGGAAGTCACCCCTGCACCCACCCCCGCTGTCTCTTATGCCGTGTTCTGCTGGTCACACAGGTCAGCCCTAATTCCATGTGTGTGTTGGGCCTACGTAGGGTGTGAGCACCAGAAGGCTGGGATCACTCATTAGGAAGCAGTTACCACAAAGGGGACAGGGTAGGAGGCGTGAGGTAGGATCACCCAGCAGGGCTGAGAGTTCTTTTCATGTTGATTACTGTGTTCTTCCAGAGTGGCAGCGTCACAGTCCTAGCACAGAGTCATCTGCCTGAATGTCCCCTGGAGTGGGTGGATGATGAAAGTCACACCTGGCTAGAGTTCTGCTGGGCTAGCCTGATGGTGGTGGGGAGGGAAATCAGCTGAAATGAGGGGCAGCTGGGTGAGGATGAAATCCAGAGAGGGGGTGGCTAAGGCAGGACGGTGGGTGGCCGAGGCAGAGTCCTGGCAGGAAAGGGGTGACCGAGGCAGAGCACGAGCAGGAGTGGGGTGACTGAGGCAGGAGAGGGACTGACTGAGGCAGGAGAGGGGGTGACTGAGGCAGGAGAGGGACTGACTGAGGCAGGAGAGGGGGTGACTGAGACAGGAGAGGAACTGACTGAGGCAGGAGAGGGGGTGACTGAGGCAGGAGAGGGACTGACTGAGGCAGGAGAGGGGGTGACTGAGGCAGGAGAGGGACTGACTGAGGCAGGAGAGGGGGTGACTGAGGCAGGAGAGGGACTGACTGAGGCAGGAGAGGGGGTGACTGAGGCAGGAGAGGGACTGACTGAGGCAGGAGAGGGACTGACTGAGGCAGGAGAGGGGGTGACTGAGGCAGGAGAAGGACTGACTGAGGCAGGAGAGGGGGTGACTGAGGCAGGAGAGGGACTGACTGAGGCAGGAGAGGGGGTGACTGAGGCAGGAGAGGGACTGACTGAGGCAGGAGAGGGGGTGACTGAGGCAGGAGAGGGGGTGACTGAGGCAGGAGAAGGACTGACTGAGACAGAGTTCAGGCAGGAAGGGGGTGACCGGGACAGAGCACAGGCAGAAGGGGGATGACCAAGGCAGAGCACAAGCAGGAGGGGGGTGACCAAGGCAGGAGAGGGTAACCGAGGCAGAGAACAGGCACGAGAGGAGGTGACCGAGGCAGAGCACAGGCAGGAGGGGGCGACTGAGGCAGAGCACAGGCAGGAGAGGAGGTGACTGAGGTAGAGCACAGGCAGGAGAGGAGGTGACTGAGGTAGAGCACAGGCAGGAGGGGGTGACTGAGGCAAGAGGGGGTGACTGAGGCAGAGCACAGGCAGGAGGGGGTGACTGAGGCAGAGCACAGGCAGGAGAGGAGGTGACCGAGGCAGAGCACAGGCAGGAGGGGGCGACTGAGGCAGAGCACAGGCAGGAGAGGAGGTGACTGAGGTAGAGCACAGGCAGGAGGGGGTGACTGAGGCAGAGCACAGGCAGGAGGGGGTGACTGAGGCAGAGCACAGGCAGGAGGGGGTGACTGAGGCAGAGCACAGGCAGGAGGGGGTGACTGAGGCAGAGCACAGGCAGGAGGGGGTGACTGAGGCAGAGCACAGGCAGGAGGGGGTGACTGAGGCAGGGCACAGGCAGGAGGGGGTGACTGAGGCAGAGCACAGGCAGGAGGGGGTGACTGAGGCAGGGCACAGGCAGGAGGGGGTGACTGAGGCAGGGCACAGGCAGGAGGGGGTGACTGAGGCAGGGCACAGGCAGGAGGGGGTGACTGAGGCAGGGCACAGGCAGGAGGGGGTGACTGAGGCAGGGCACAGGCAGGAGGGGGTGACTGAGGCAGGGCACAGGCAGGAGGGGGTGACTGAGGCAGGGCACAGGCAGGAGGGGTGACTGAGGCAGAGCACAGGCAGGAGGGGTGACTGAGGCAGAGCACAGGCAGGAGGGGTGACTGAGGCAGAGCACAGGCAGGAGGGGTGACTGAGGCAGAGCACAGGCAGGAGAGGAGGTGACTGAGGCAGAGCACAGGCAGGAGAGGAGGTGACTGAGGCAGAGCACAGGCAGGAGAGGAGGTGACTGAGGCAGAGCACAGGCAGGAGAGGAGGTGACTGAGGCAGAGCACAGGCAGGAGAGGAGGTGACTGAGGCAGAGCACAGGCAGGAGAGGAGGTGACTGAGGCAGAGCACAGGCAGGAGAGGAGGTGTCTGAGGCAGAGCACAGGCAGGAGAGGAGGTGACTGAGGCAGAGCACAGGCAGGAGAGGAGGTGACTGAGGTAGAGCACAGGCAGGAGAAGGTGACTGAGGCAGAGCACAGGCAGGAGGGGGTGACTGAGGCAGAGCACAGGGCAGGAGAGGAGGTGACTGAGGCAGAGCACAGGCAGGAGGAGGTGACTGAGGCAGAGCACAGGCAGGAGGGGGTGACTGAGCCAGAGCACAGGCAGGAGGAGGTGACTGAGGCAGAGCACAGGCAGGAGGAGGTGACTGAGGCAGAGCACAGGCAGGAGGGGGTGACTGAGGCAGAGCACAGGCAGGAGGGGGTGACTGAGGTAGAGCACAGGCAGGATGGGGTGACTGAGCCAGAGCACAGGCAGGAGGGGTGACTGAGGCTTGCATGGGTCAGAGGACATGCAGTGAGAGAAAAAATGAGTGAACATGGTGGAAGTTGAGGAGGAAGGTTGGGTTCAGAGAGAGGGGAGTTTTCGAACGTCATTCTGGGTGGTAGGACAGTGCCTAGTGATGACCAAGCCTAAGGGGACCTGTGGAAACGTGTGGCTGATGAGGAGAGAAGGGACAAAGAGCCCTGGAGCTGAGAAACTCCTGAGACCCTGGGGGTTTTTGATGTCATCCAGAAGCTGGGACTGGAGGTGGGAGGAGTGATGGAGGCAGGCGTCTGAGTCCCCAGGGAAGGAGGCGTAGCGGGGAATGCGTTTCTGGCCGCACTTGGATGGGAGGAATGTGCCATGAGACTGCACGAAGCCAAGGTTCTCAAAGGGGGTGGAGCAGAGTGGTTGAGCTGGGGATAGAGGAAGCACGTTTTCCATCAGCTGGCCTTGAATTCATTGCCTGCTCTGCAAAATAAAGGCCCAGTGTGGAATCCAGAACTTGCATTTGAAGGACAGGAAGGGTGGGCTGAGGAGGGCCTGTCCCCAGCATCCCGAGAGGGAGGAGGCTGTGGGGACTTGGAGTGTCCCATTTCTTCCAGAGCACTGTCCTGAGGGTGCTGCAGGAAGAAGGAAGGCTCATCCTGCCTCCCGGCTGCCCTTTTGTTGTCGGAGTCACAGGATGGCGGCCCTTGTCCTACCCGCCACCGGTGGTGAGTCACGGGGTCTTAGCATTTCTCATAGTCCAGGATTGAAAGGCTCTGACCCTCAGCCTGAGACGGGAGGGGGCTGGGCAGAGCAGGTGAGGCAGGAGTGGATCCCCAGGGGCCCAGAGGTCCTCCGTGTCCGATGGGGCAGCTCTTGGGATTTGGGACTTAGGTGTTTGGGTGTCTGTGGATGTTATTGTGTAGTGAATGTGCTGGAGCTTTTGAATTCTCCCTTTTTTTCTTTCTGTGAACCTGATAAAAACATAGCGATGTCCTTGGAACCTGTTTTCTCATCTGCGAAGTGGGAATAATCTCTTCCCCAAGTGCAGTCAGACCTTGAGCCCTGTTACCTTTTGTTGGTGAGACAGGGCTGTGTTTGGGTGTCTTAGGAGAGCCGTGGGTAGGTGTTTGCATGGGGTGTAGGTGGGCGCTGCGTGGGTATAGGAGGGCGATATAGTCAATCACAGGTAGATATGTGGGTGTTAGACAAGCCTGAATCCCCGGGACTCATTTCTCCTCCTCCAGCTGCGTCTTCCCCGTTCCCAGCCTCTCAGCAAAAAGGACACACAGAAGGCGGAGGCCTGGTTAATGAGCTCCTGACAAGCTGGCTGCAGGTGAGTTGGATGCTCCTTTTCCCAAATCATTATTCCTTTAGCCAGAAGTTTGGACTTCATACCTTCCAGCAGCCTGGAGCCCTGCAGCCAGACTGGCTCCTGAGGCATCCCAGAATTTCCAGGCATCTGATGGAGGGTGAGGGCTTCCCAGAAAATCGGTGTGTGTGGACGGTTACTGCAGGTTCAGAACTTTCTCCAGGTCCCTCAGTACATCATGTGCTCCTGAGAGTTTTAAGGGAAAGCCAAGTAAAGGTGTGACGGTGTTCTAAGCCCAAGCAGTTTATAAAAACCATAGGGAATCGTTCATTCACTCGCCAAGTGTTCCTCTGCTTTCTGCCATGTCCCGGGCCCGTGCTCCCCTGGAGATTGAGAGAATAAGATCACAGGAGCCCCCAGTCTAAGAGATAGAAGACAGTTGCTCTGGGGTACTGTGCATTAAACCTGAGGAGTGGCCTAAGGAGTCAAGCATTGAGGGCTGAGCCTGGAAGCCAGGGAGAGGAGCTCAGAAGCCCGCTCAGGTTTCCCCAGCCCTGGCTCTATTCTCCTGTGCAGTTGGTGAGGGTGGTCCTCAGCTAAACTGTGATGTTTGCCATGCTTTAGGGGTTGGTGACCTTCGAGGATGTGGCTGTGGAGTTCACCCAGGAGGAGTGGGCGTTGCTGGACCCTGCCCAAAGGACACTGTACAAGGATGTGATGCTGGAAAACTGCAGGAACCTGGCCTCCCTGGGTAAGCCTGACGTCATTTCTGCATTTATTTAATGACTCTCGTGGAAGACTTGCCTTATTTTTTTATTGTGGTAAAATTCATGCAACATAAAATTCACCATTTTAACCATTCTTAGATGTCCAGTCCAGTGGTTTTTAATATATTCGTGGTATTGTGCAGCCATCAGCCCTGTCTAACATTGCACTGTTTTCATCACCCCTGGAAGAAATCCCATCCCAGTAAGCAGTCAATCCTCATTACCTCCCTACTCGCTGCTGCTGGTAACCAGTCATCTGGTTTCTGTCTTTAGGGATTTACCTATCCAGAACATATCACTTAAATTGAATTATAAAATCCGTTACCGTTTGTGTCTGACTTCTTTCATGTAGCACGGTGTTTGAAGAGCTTAGCTATGTTGCTCCAGCATCTCGTTCCTTATGACTGAATAATATTCCGTTGTATGAACATACTGCATTTTGCCAATTTGTTTTTCTGTTGATAAACATTTGAATTGTTTCCACTTTTTGACTATCATGAATAATGTCCAAATTTTTGTTTAAATTCCCACTTTCCATTTTCTTGGGTATATACTAGGAGTGGAAGGCTAGGTCACATGACATTTCTGCATTTAGCTTTTTGAGGAACTGCCAGACTTTTCCACAGCAGCTGCACCACTTCACATTCACACCAATGCATGAGAGTTCCAGCTTCTCCTGTCTTTCCCAGCCCTTTTTTTTTGTAATTGCACTTTAGGTTCTGGAGTACATGTGCAGATCATGCAGGATTGTTGCATAGGTACACACATGGCAATGTGGTTTGCTGCCTCCATGCCCCCGTCTGGCATTTCTCCCCATGTTATCCCTCCCTGACCTCCCCACTCCCCCGCACTGTCCCTCCCCACTCCCCCCCGCTGTCCCTCCCCCCTCCCTGTGTCCATGTGTTCTCATTGTTCAATACCCGCCTATGAGTGAGAACATGCGGTGTTTGATTTTCTCTTGTGTCAGTTTGCTGAGAATGATGGTTTCCAGATTCATCCATGTCCCTACAAAGGACACAAACTCATCATTTTTATGGCTGCATAGTATTCCATGGTGTATATGTGCCACATTTTCCTTGTCCAGTCTATCATCAGTGGGCATCTGGGTTGGTTCCAGTTCTTTGCTATTGTAAACAGTGCCTCAATGAATATACGTGTGCATGTGTCTTTATAATAGAATGATTTATAGTCCTTCGGATATATACCCATTAATGGGATTGCTGGGTCAAATGGAATTTCTATTTCTAGGTCCTTGAGGAATCACCACACTGTCTTCCACAGTGGTTAAACTAATTTACACTCCCACCAACAGTGTAAAAGTGTTCCTGTTTCTTCACATCATCTCCAGCATCTGTTGTCTCCAGATTTTTAATGATTGCTATTCTAACTGGCGTGAGGTGGTGTCTCAATGTAGTTTTGATTTGTATTTCTCTAATAATCAGTGATGATAAGCATTTTTTCATGTTTGTTGGCCTCATATATGTCTTCTTTTGAAAAGTGTCTGTTCATATCCTTCCCCCACTTTTGGATGGGTTTTTTTCTTGTAAATCTGTTTTAGTTCTTTGTAGATTCTGGATATCAGCCCTTTGTCAGATGGTAGATTGCAAAAATTTTTTCCCATTCTGTTGGTTGCTGGTTCACTCTAATGATTGTTTCTTTTGCTGTATAGAAGCTGTGGAATTTAGTTAGGTCCCATTTGTCTATTTTGGCTTTTGTTGTCAATGCTTTTGGTGTTTTAGTCATGAAGTCCTTGCCTATGCCTGTGTCCTGAATGGTTTTGCTTAGGTTTTCTTCTAGGGTTTTTATGGTGTTAGGTCTTATGTTTAAGTCTTTAATCCATCTGGAATTAATTTTAGTGTAAGGTATCAGGAAGGGGTCCAGTTTCTGCTTTCTGCACAGTGCTAGCCAGTTTTACCAACACCATTTATTAAACAGGGAATCCTTTCCTATTGCTTGTTTTTGTCAGGTTTGTCAAAGATGAGATGGTTGTAGATATGTGGCATTGTCTCTGAGGCCTCTGTTCCATTCCATTGGTCTATATCTCTGTTTTGGTACCACTACCATGCTGTTTTGATTACTGTAGCTTTCTAGTATAGTTTGAAATCAGGTAGTGTGATGCCTCCAGCTTTGTTCTTTTTGCTTAGGATTGTCTTGGCTATGAGGGCTCTCTTTTGGTTCCATGTGAAGTTTAAGGTGGTTTTTTCCAGTTCTGTGAAGAAGGTGGCTTGATGGGAATAGCGTTGAATCTATAAATTACTTTGGGCAGTATGGCCATTTTCACGATGGTGTTCCTTCCTAACCATGAGCATGGAATGTTTCTCCATTTGTTTGTATCCTCTCTTATTTCCTTTGAGCAGTGGTTTGTAGTTCTCTTTGAAGAGGTCCTTTACATCCTTTGTTGGTTGTATTCCTAGGTATTTTATTCTCTTTGTAACAATTATGAATGAGAGTATGCTCATGATTTGCGCTCTGTTTGTCTGTTATTGGTGTATAGAAATGCTTGTGATTTTTGCATGTTGATTTAGTATCCTGAGACTTTGTTGAAGTTGCTTATCAGTTTCAGGAGATTTTGGGTTGGGACAATGGGGTCTTCTAGATACACGATCATGTCCTCTGCAAATAGAGACAGTCTGACTTCCTCCTTTCCTATTTGAATACCCTTTATTTCTTTTTCTTGCCTGATTGCTCTGGCTAGAACTTCCAGTGCCATATTGAATAGGAGTGGTGAGAGAGGGCATCCTTGTCTAGTGCCAGATTTCAAAGGGAATGCTTCCAGTTTTTGCCCATTCAGTATGATATTGGCTGTAGATTTGTCATAGTTTTTATTATTTTGAGATATATTCCTTCCATACCTAGTTTATTGAGAGTTTTTAGCATAAAGGCTGTTGAATTTTGTTGAAGGCCTTCTCTGCATCTGTTGAGATAATCATGGTTTTTGTCTTCGGTTCTGTTTATGTGGTGGATTACTTTTATAGACTTGCGTATGTTGAACCAGCCTTGCATCCCCAGAATGAAGCCTACTTGATCATGGTGGATAAGCTTTTTGATGCACTGTTGCAGTCGGTTTGCCAGTATTTTATTGAAGATTTTTGCATCTGTGTTCATCATGGATATTGGCCTGAAGTTTTCTTTTTTTGTTGAATCTCTGCCAGGTTTTGGTATTAGGATGATGTTGATCTCATAAAATGATTTGGGAAGGATTCCCTCTTTTTGAATTGTTTGGAATCGTTTCCAAAGGAATGGTACCAGCTCCTCTTTGTATGTCTGGTAGAATTCAGCTATGAACTTGTCTGGACCTGGACTTTTTTTGGTTGGTAGGTTATTAATTGCTGCCTCAACTTCAGCCCTTGTTATTGGTCTGTTCAAGGTTTCAACTTCTTTCTGGATTAGGCTTGGGAGGGTGCAAGTGTCCAGGAATTTATTCATTTCTTCCAGGTTTACTGGTTTATGTGCATAGAGTTGTTTGTAGTAATCTCTGATTGTAGTTTGTATTTCTGTGGAGTCGGTGATATTCCCTTTATTGTTTTTTATTGCATCTATTTGATTCTTCTCCCTTTTCTTTTTTATTAATCTATTTTGTTGATCTTTTTTTAAAAAAAAACAGCTCCTGGATTTATTGATTTTTTTTTTTTTGAAGGATTTTTTGTGTCTCTGTCTCTTTCAGTTCTGCCCAGATCTTAGTTATTTCTTGTCTTCTGCTAGGTTTTGAGTTTTTTGATCTTGCTCCTCTAGCTCTTTCAATTTTGATGATAGGTTGTCAATTTTAGATCTTCCCTTGCTTCTCTGGTGGGCATTTATTGCTATAAATTTCCCTCTAGACACTGCTTTAAATGTGTCCTAGAGATTCTGGTACATTGTATCTTCATTCTCCTTGGTTTCTAAGAACATTTTTGTTTCTGCCTTCATTTCATTGTTTATTCAGTCGACATTCAGGAGCCAGTTGTTGAGTTTCCATGAAGTGGTGTGGTTCTGAGTTAGTTTTTTAATTCTGAGTTCTAATTTGATTGCACTGTGGTCTGAGAGACTGGTATGATTTCCATTCTTTTGCATTTGCTGAGGAGTGATTTACTTCCAATTATGTGATCAATTTTAGAGTAGGTGCCATGTGGTGCTGAGAAAAATATATATTCTGTGGGTTTGGGGTAGAGATTTCTGTAGATATCTATTAGGTCCACTTGGTCCAGATCTGAGTTCAAGTCCTGGATATCCTTGTTAATTTTCTGCTTTGTTGATCTGTCTAATATTGACAGTGGAGTGTTAAAGTCTCCCACTATTATTGTGTGGGAGTCTAAGTCTCTTTGTAGGTCATAAAGAACTTGCTTTATGTACCTGGGTGCTCCTGTATTGGGTGCATATATATTTAGGATTGTTAGTTCTTCTTAATACATTGATCTTTATGTAATGCCCTTCTTTGTCTCTTTTGATTTTGTTGGTTTAAAGTCCATTTTATCAGAGATTAGGATTGCAACTCCTGCTTTTTTTGCTCTCCATTTGCTTGATAAATCTTCCTCCATCCCTTTATTTTTAGCCTATATGTGTCCTTGCACGTGAGATGGGTTTCCTGAATAAAGCACATCAATGGGTTTTGATTTTTTATCCAGTTGGCCGGTCTGTATCTTTTGATTGGGGCATTTAGTCCGTTTACATTTAAGGTTAATATTGTTATGTGTGAATTTGATCCTGCCATTTTGATGCTAGCTGGATGTTTTGCCTGTTAGTTAACACATTTTCTTCATTATGTCAATGGTCTTTACCATTTGGTACATTTTTGGAGTGGCTGGTACTGGTTGTTCCTTTCCTTGTTTAGTGCTTCTTTCAGGAACTCTTCTAAGGCAGGCCTGGTGGTGACAAAATCTCTCAGCAATTGCTTTTCTATAAAGGGTTTTCTTTTTCTTTCGCTTATGAAGCTTAGTTTTTGGCTGGATATGAAATTCTGGGTTGAAAGTTCTTTTCTTTAAGGATGTTGGATATTGACCCCCACTCT